GTAGTGACTGTTTGGGTAGATAGAGCGCCGTAGACTTCTCCCCCACAGTAGTGTGGGTCGAGTCTACCAGAGAATACCCAAACCCAAACGGTCCTCTCCCACCCGTCCTCCTCACCAGGCTAGGACTTTTTAGTCGCTTTCGAAAAGAAGGAAGAACATGGCAGCGAGACCGCAGTGCATAGTGGGAGGTCATAGGGCATCTTGGATGATAAAGTCTTTTCTGCGAATAGCCATGCGTGCATTGGAAATTTAAATATGTAGTGACTGTTTGGGTAGGTATTCTCTAGTAGACTTAGTAGACTCGACCCACACTACTGTGGGGGAGGAGTTTGCTTGAAGATAGATTTGTTATCACACTCGCACTCACGCTCGTTGAACACAGAAAAACGTAGGGCATCTTTGAGACACAGACATGTTATACATCATTCTGTGTTCCACTCGCACTTGTGTGATAACTAATAGTGTATGTATTTCTTTCTGAAACCTGGGTAAAGATATTGACTACTAAACCCTTAGATAAATGAAGGTGAGTTAGGAAAACTGCCTTATATTTTTAGTTACCTGTTGCAAATGTTCTGTGGTTGACAACATATGGTTTAAGACTGTATTTTTGAGGAAATTGTTTTCCTTAAAACTAACAAAGATTGCAAGTAGAGATGCTCTGAATGAAGGTTGAGTAATTATCTGTTCTCTTAAACTCATGATAACTAAATATTTGACACCACGGTGACAAATACAAGTAAACATTAGTAGTGAGTGAATGATTGTTTATGTTCTTAGAAGTGCATTTGTACTTGTGTGGATTTAAGGCAACAAAACAAAGCCTCATTTGTCGTATGTAGTCCATTCCACAGAAAGGAATTTGATGATTCATTTAAATTATGCAGTTAGTTTATATTTATACATTGTGGGTACACTGTATCACTGCAGATACAATCTTTATATACTGGTAGATTGTATAAATGCAGTGTGTCTTTGCCATATACATATAAATTTTCTTTTGCAATTTTGATAAGATGAAAAACTAACTTTGGGTTTTGTTTGTTAGTCCACTGGGCTCAACCTACCCTGAACAGTTTTTCATATGCCAATTTCCCATGCTCCAATTGTTATTCACTGAAAAGACTTGATCAACTAGTGCTTCCTGACCTCCCACTGTGCATTGCGATCATGCCGCCATATCCGTTCTGCTTTTCTCAGCTTCGAAACATAATGGACGTGTCTTTTAGGCTTCTTTGGTTTTTGAGTTTCCATTTTCGCTTGTTGTTTATGTATCCATTTGATTTCCCCTCCTCCTTGTTCTGGTTTGTTATAACCTACCAAGTACCTGAGTGACTGAGCCAGCAGGATCCTATTCTGCAGTCCACCGAGTTAGTCCAGTGCGGTCATCAGGGGATCACACCAGCGATGCCCTCTGACTACCGATGGCTCAGAAAAACTCACACAGTGACGCGGCCCCCAACACCCAGTCACTCCTAGCAGTCTCCGGCCGCCGTAGTTCATTGGCATGAAAGGCTATTTCTCCGATGACAGCAACCGAGCATGCTGGCCCATGCTCTGACAACGCAGACATCAGGGCGAGCTTCTGATGCTCTGCCAGGTCTGCCCCACCTGATGGAGCTGGGCCAGAGTGCAGCGATGCCCCATACCACACCCAGCACTGTGGGCCCTACCAGACTACGATGCCGCTAAGGTTCAATCAAATCCTCACAGCCTATTCCAGGCTCCGAGTTCGAGCTTGGCATCCCACAGATATCTGACCGCAGGCCAACTGAAACTGAACTGGTCCGCGCCCGCCAGGATAATGATTACTCCTCCAGGGATCAGCCCCCTTAAGCTTCATCTGCTACCTCGGCCTCTGGATTGCCAGTACCTAAGAAACACCAAACCAAGTGTTCCTCTTGTTCGTCCACTACCTCTAAAGCCAACAAGAGATGCCACTCTGAGCAACAGGACATTGTGCCAGCCTCTTGGATTACGACCTTTCAGTCTATCTCTGAGGCTTTAACATCAACCGCTACTGCTCCGGATCCACTCCTGTCGAAACCGCTTCCTTCCACCTGCTCCGGTCCTATGGATGATGAAGCAGAACTTGGGACTCTGCATGATGCATACCAGGCTGATGACCCTTCGTCGACACAACCAGTCACTCATGGCAGCACCCACAGCTCAGAATGCAGCATGGATCTGCCACAGTGTGGCCAACTGGCCGTGTCTTCCGACAGTGAGGTTGACTCTGTCACTGGCTTTACTCCTTCCGAGGGTCGCCTGCGTCTACTGGAGCGTGACATGGTCCATGTCCTTGGTCTTCCTGCAACTTCACAGCCCCAACCAGACTCCAAACATGGTTTGTTCAAACGCCCCGCTGCCGGAGTAGAATCTTCTGATCTGTTTTTTCTGGAACTTCCATTTGACTGCTCCTGTGTGGAAATGTTCAAGTAACAGATGATAATCAAGCGATGGCAACCTGTTCCACAATGGGCCTTGGCGTACTTGTACAGGCCTTGACAGAGGACTTCGACTATTTCCTGTTGGTGCTAGAAATACCCAATGTTGCCATAGACAAAATTGTCGCTGACTCAGTCAAAGCAACCACCAAGGCTGCCATAGACAAAGATATGGCTCTCCTTGAATCTGCCCTATCTAAGCTGGACAAAGCATCCCGCTTCGGCCTAAGATGCATGGCTTTCCTGCTTCTCAGAGTAACTTTCAAGTGACTGCGGACTTTGCAGCCCTCGCGCTCCACAGTCTGGATGACGACTCAACTTCACATATAAGCAGTTCACCCGCATTTTCTTGCTTGGCAACTTCCACCCACAGGGCCAACTCCCTAGAGGTGATGCACATTTACTATGAAGGTGTCAAGGCTTGGCTCCCAGACCTTCCACTCTTGGGGAAAGATCTCTTTACTGGCAAGTTCCTTGAGGTCCTCAAGGGTGAAGCTAAGTGCATGGATACCACAAAGATGATATCATTTCGTGAAACGCCAGCCTCCGAAAACCAGCGACCCCAGCCTTACCAGGCTCCTCAGCCCAAGCAACCAGATCACACATAGTCCTCCTGTCCACTACTACCAGTGCCACAAATATGACATTCGCTGGGAACCATGCCGACTATTTCCAACCGTTGAATTCTTGGTAAAGAACCAAACTCTGTGTCCCTTGCTTTGCACACGTGCAACAACTCAGATAAACTTTGGTGCCCGTTCTGCACACTCAAATGGTACTTGGCAAAAACCAAACACCTCAGGGGATCAGTCACCCAGCTGTTCATTACCACTACAAAACCTCACCACCCGGTGACAAGGGATCCCATTGCCCTCTAGACAACTTCGGCCATAATGTTTGCAAACCCAGACTAGCCGGCGCACTCTGATGATGCCATATCACAGCCCACAATGTCAGAGCTGCCTCTACGTCTTGGTCTTATTTTCAGGATGTTTCCAGTGCAGATACATGTATATGCAATGCTGCATGCTGGACGTCCCTCTCTATCTTCACCACTTGGTACCTGAAGGATGTCTTCCAGAGTGATTCTGCACACTTCAAGATGGTCCTCCTGTCAGCTGCACAGAAGTCAATTAGACCTGCTGCAGACCAAACACCCGACAAGTTATCCTGAAGACCTAATCATGGGGAGTGGTAATACATCTGCTCTTGTACAATTTTAATAGTGCTAGTCCACGTGTCATAGCCAACCCACCGCCTGCGACTGGTGCCACTCTGCAATATATAAAACTAGTTTGGGTAGGTTGAGTGCAGTGAACTCCTCCCCCACGTGTGTGGGACGAGTCTACTAGAGAATACCTACCCGAAACAGTCTTCACCCCCCGTCCTCCCCACTTTGGCTCTGACCTTCAGACTGCTTTGAAAAGAAGGACAAACATGGTGATGTGACCGCAAATCATAGTGGGAGGTCAGGGTGCACTACAGTTGATCGAGTCTTTTCACTGACAATAGGTGCATGGGAAATTTGTATATATGCAAACTGTTTGGGATAGGTATTCTCTAGGAGACTCGTCCCACACATGTGGGGGATGATTTCATTGTTGGTATCACCCCCCCTTTATTTATCATGGTAAGAGATCTAAATGCATGTTTGAATAAGACTGGAAAAAATTTGGACCAACTGAGCAGTGCATTTGCTATTAGTTTTGAACCCTACTTATATAATGTATTGATAAGTGTGATACGTTATCCTTTTAATTTGACAGTGGTTATTTTGCACTGCCAGCAAAAGTTCTAAAGCAGTATTCTGCCGGTAGCCTTGTTCTGATTGGTCCATATTTATGACGTCACCATCGTTGATGTATGTGTACTGTAACGTGGTGTGGCCCCTAATGTGGCCCACTTTCATTTTTCACCTGTATTAGGAGCACCTTTTCTGCCACAATCAAATTCACAATTAGTGAAATTTTATCAAGCTCCAATATTCCCATACATAAATCTAAGTTTCTGTTCCTCTTTCAAAGTTCTGATGAAATTTTATTTTTACCCCATTTTCACATTTGTTCTTCTCGTACAAAATTAACTCTTGAAAATGCGCCCAAAATAATGGAATAATTTTCTTTATACAGTACTTCAAGTTGGGTATGTGAGTGAAAAAAATGTTTTTTGTCGAATTTTACAACCTTGAAGAACTTTTTAAATGTCAATGTGAGATTTTCTGAAGTTTGTCAGGAAGTATGAAGTTTTAGGGGGCTCTCCGGTCAAGTTCATAACATGAGAATGCACAGTGAGTTGGGCACCAGTGTCAGTGACTGTATGATCCGGTGTTGGCGTTAATACCATGGGTATTGCTGGCAATACCCATCAAATATTGTTTTGGAACTTCTGCATGTGGCAGCAAAATATCCACTGTCTTTTAATTTATGTACGAGTAATCAATTTTTCTCCCACGTTGGACTTATTTTCAAGAAGGAAGTGAAATAAATTGCAATACCATTTATGTCCATAAAAAGAAACTGACAAATATTAACATGGAAATTCTTTTTATTTTAGGGCAGCCAATGCATTGTTTGAGGCTCTTGATGCATGCACAGACTCGGTTGAAATCACCAGTGAGAATCATGTTGTCCAGTATGTCAACTCTGCATATGAACAACTAACAGGATACTCTGGTGAAGAGATACTTGATCGAGAAGTAGATGACATTCATCGTGACAAAAATAAAGCAGAGCAGATGGACTCCATCTATTCTCAACTGAAAAAGACAAAGGTAAACTTTTGGTAATGCAATTCTTGCAGATTCACATGTTAACCCTAAAGAGCTGGGGGAGGGGATGATGGTGACAGAATGCAACTCCCCCTTGATATTTTTCTCCAATATCGCCACAGTGTATCTTTTTCAGGAGCTCAGTCTTTAGGAGTTTTTAGAGTAACTCTTTGAAGTCATTTTCACACCAATTGAACACATTGTCCTTGTTCACCATTTCTTTGTCCAAGGCAGGTCAGCCTAGATTGTATACTTTTCTACTGCAGTGCTCAATGCACATGGGCTGGCATGCATGTACATGTAGCCTTGAACTTCAAATGACGGTAGCAACAAAACTATATATCTTATTGAGTTCAGACTTCATATTTGTAATAAGGAGTGTCTTTACATGCATACAAAGTTAAAAAAGTAATTGGGTTTGGCACAGCCGAGTCCTTGGGGCAGAATTTCCTTCCCCAGGCTGTGAGATGGGCCAATAACCTCGCTCTTTGAGAGTAAAGAATTTATTGCATTGAAAGTTCAGTTCAAGCATTCATAACATTTATTGTTGGCAGAAATAAAAATCATGCACTGAAATGTGAATTTTGGAAGATGAACAGATATTTCAAACAATACATTACAGATTTGGTTTAATGATGAGCAACATGTTCATAAGATATGTTTCAAATGAAAGAGTACCAAAGAAAATGTATGCTACACAGGCAAAGCATTTTTTTTTTCGTTAGAGCATTTAAACTCATATGCAGGGAGGCACAGTTCAGGAATTTTCATGTCCGACGGACTATAAAATGAAAACAGTCATTAGCTTCACAAAGCTATTCCTTAACCACATTAGACCGTCAGCTGAACCCCTAAATTTTTTTTTTTCGTTCGAGCAACTGCGGGAATAGATTTTCTGAACAGAATCGAGTACATAAATTAATACCAGAGATGAGAAATGCAAAAGTTCTCCACATGTTATCCTGCAGTTTTTTAATAATTCGGGTGGAAAGAGCGAACTATTTCGCCATGGGGAAGCTCTATGTTCGAAATTCGCCACGTTTAAAAATCGTTTGTGAATGATGTAATCTGACTACGTGATGCAAATTGTCCAATCCAAGACCAGAACGAAGATCGTGGGTCATGGGTCATGACGGACTATGCCAGGTGTGGCGAAGCATGTCATTAGTCATGTTAGTTTTCACGAGACATGCTGCCGGAGTTTTTTAAACGTCTGCATGCTGCTAGAAATGAAAGTTACACGAAGATTCCCCCTCTGAAGCTTCATCTTCTTCCCCTAAAAAGCTCTGGGCTAGATAAAGATTTTCTTCTGGAAGATCTTCAAGACTCTCATGACTCTGTCTGTGTCTGGCAATCATGTCTGGTGTGTTGCCTGTAAGGCTGTATGTTAACTTGAATGCATCATGGAGGAAAGTTGAGCTGTCCGTCACTCGGCATGGGAAATATGCCAAGCATGTCAAGGATAAGCTGTTACCGGCAGAAATTTCGGATTGAGGTAAGCTGCCTTACTATTACATTGCAATCGGGCAAGGGCATATTGATGGAAGTAGCTTTCGAAATTTAATAATTTACAATGTAAGTCTATGCTCGTATTTTAATTTTAGCCCATCATACCCACCATTGAAGCTATCTGTAATAACTTGGACTTAACGATTTGACCTTTCCCATGAAATATGCAAATAAGGCAGGAGCATGCACATTACTACCACTGGTTTGCAATTTGCTTAAATCTACAGAGGTAACAATACAAATCCCTATGCTGAAGTGTGCTTCAATCTCACCAGAGCTGGCAGCATTAAGCAATAGACCCATAAACAAGGCCCTTCTCTTGGGTCCTGGATATGGATACATGTACACTTTTAAAGCTTCGCCCGCATATTCCCTTGAAATGACAACCTTGGAACGGCTGGTCAGCTCATAGAATGTAGCGGATGTCAGTGGGTGAAACTTTTGAAAATTTGAAAGCTGTTTTTATATATCCATCCAGGACCCAATCATTGACAGAGTGCACATAGAGGCATGATTACGGGTCCACATTAAGCAGCAGCCTTTCTTTGGACTGATAACCGAGACAGCGCAGACAATCATTCCAAAAATGTCTGGCAACAAGTAGCATTTAACAAAATGGTTATAACAAAATAATAATAAGATTAAGAGCACAAGCAAGATGGTTTAAATTGTATTTTCTCTTAAATTTCTTTGCCAGGATTGCTTTATCAAGCAGCAGAGAGAAAAGAGACGAGAATGTTTTGATATACATTTGGGACAAAGATTGTGTCGCTCTGGAGGTTCGATATCGCACCTCTTGTTGCAAATCATACACTCAGTTCCTAACAGGGAAAAGCAAGGATCCTGAAGGGTAAGCCTTAGACAAAATTTGATTGATGTGTTTTCCTAGTTTTTACTCAGTTTAAAATTATCTCCATTATTGGGGAAAAATGTAACTATCTGGGNCCTTGTGTCTATCAGTGCCCATTATCATTATTTTAGGCTCCTTTAAAAAATTAAGGTCATGTTCATAATCCTGGTGAATAATGCTGACAATAGTGAAGGAAACCATTTTTACATTTCATTCAAAACTTTGATTAGAACCACCATTTGCGATGATTGGAAACCAGCACTTGTTGCAGCTCCCATTGTGCTGTGGTGTCCTCTTTTGCATGTCAACACAGTCAGACACTTTTTTGGTAACTGTTGGCCCAGGTATCATTTCTATCCAAACCTTTTAATTTTGGCAAGTTGAAGTATGTACATGCAAAATTAGTTGTACTCGTAGTTATCTTTCGTGTAGGGCATTCTGCACAGTTGCAAGTAAGTGCCTGCATATCACTATTCTGACTCATTGAATTGTACAAGCATAATTCCACAGTCACTCCTTCCTATTTTTCTCTTCCATTTTCTCAAAATAGGTTCAAGGGGGTGTGATGGGAAAATCTGTTTGGAAGAAGTGACCTGAATAAAAAGCGTTGTTTACTGTCTGATTGAATTGAAGGAGTGAACTTCAGATGGAGCACCAAGAGGCCTATAAGATGTTCAACAGAGATAGTGATTGAAGGCCAGGAAATCATGAGTATGTCAAAGATTGATCAACTGTTTATGACAGTGATTAAGAAGCATGGCAGAACTGACCTTCAATCGTACCGGTATGATAGGTTGAAAGTTAGTCAAATTGCCCAGTGCTTACAAAATTGACTTTCTATAAAATGTTCAAATCAACAACTACATGTATGGACATTGCATTTGGAAAGAGAAGGTGTTGCATAGGCAGTCTGTGATGCCTACTCTTCAGCTAAGAATATTTATACATGTACATCAATAATAGAAGGTAAAATGAGCTGTTGAAGGATCTTGTGCATGATCTATCTCATAAATTCACTCTTTCTTCTGCTCCAGTCATGCCATATTAACTCTTTTTTGTCAAATATTCACCCATTTAATTTAACTATTTGTTCTAATACAGAAGTGACAAGTTGAAGTACTGGCTCAAAAGAGATTATTCTGAGCTCCGCTCCCACAAGCCTTTCTGGAGAAACAAGCGTAAGATTGTCAACTCCTCCANCATTGTCATCAAGAAGTTTGGCCGAATCTCTAGACACTTCAGAGCATGATTCATGAACCGACATGTCTGACTTGGAAACTGGTACAGATGCTCCCACCTCTCCATACGCTGTTACAGGACAAAAAGAATCTGTACTCGATGATTTTTGATGGATAGTAATGAGAAAATGCTCCAGGGTTCCAATAAACACTTCGATCAGTGTTGTCTTTTCAAGGAAGTGCAACAAATCTGGATTTCATAGCTGTCCTGTTCATTAGAGTTGTTTCCTTTTCCTTTGCATTATGCAATTATATTTATAAAAATAGCATTATATCTAAATTGAATGTACTCTTTTGATAATCAATTGAAGTAACTGGTGAGATTAACCTTTTTGGGACATTTTTCTGAATGCCTTGTTTCATAATCTTATGGCCCGTTCCAGATAATCACATCAAAGTCTGAATTGGAATGGGAATTGGACGCCATTTTTAGCACAAAATGATTGGCTCTAACGAAGGAGGCCTCGGTCGAAAACATAATTACATTGTGAGTACATTGAGTGAAGTTCTGTACATGTTTCCCCTGCTGTCAGCAATTTATTACATTTTCATCTCCACTTTGGACATCATAGCCACCTGGTATCTGTACTGTACAAAACTAAATAACTCACCTTTTGCCTTTTATTTTTTTATTCTAATAAGCCAGATTGTGAAATATTTTGAGACCAGAAGAACAATGGTGGTGTCTACCAGATCAAAAATCTTTTACCAAAAAGATAATAAATCCTTTCTGTGGTGTCACCTGACTGTTACAAAAATCATGTACTGTCTTTTCTTAATTTGCCACATATAGTCATAACACAAATCAAAATGTATAATATTGAAGGTTTGACATAATCGCAGTTCTCTAATTTTAAAGTTGGAAGTGCCCAAAGAAAGCCTAAGAAGCGCATACATGTACAAGTATTGCGCATTGTAGCATACAAGACTATGGCGTTGAGGATGAATTACTAAAAAACTGCAGGATTTTTTTTGGAGTACTTTTGACATAATGTTCGGGATGTACAGAACCTCACATTTATGCATTTAAAAAGTATTCCCAGTGTCGCTGGAACGGAACTCATTTTTACAGCCTGCTGACGACCTACATGCTGCCGGGTGCTTTTAAAAATGCAGTGCACACATACGGGCGATTTTCATGATTTTCAGTTTCCAAAATTCTTCAAAATTTATTTAAAAACCCAATCCAATAAAAAAATGAAGCAAATACTCATGTATTATTGACATAGAGATCATTTGTATAAACAGGAGAAGAGATATCTGGAAATTACAAGTTAAACACGGTCGTCGCAGCGGACCTCGAAAACAAGCAGCCGTGTTTACTGGTTTGGGTTATAACATTATCTCTGATGGGGTGATTATAAGACAGTACACTGTTTTGCTAGTGCTAGCACTTTTCCAGTCTGAAATAATCTCTTAAATTGAATTGAAATTCTTCTTGAGGTCACCAATTTCAACTCTAGATGAATTTTAACAGTTTACAATGTGTTTGAGTTTTGCCACCAAAACATATCGGTAGGCTCTTCCAACGAACAAGTACGATTCACATACATGTACTTTTTTTTTGGTCAGGAGGATACTCCTATCCTGTGTGTCAACAGGGAGTATACTCTCGCTGACCCTCACCCTGCCTGCCATTCGTGTGCTCGGGAGACTACTTAGTTAACACGAGTAGCTCGCTCGAATGCAGCATTTGCCGACTGACCCTTTATTTGCCGACTGAAAAGAATTATTGCTATGCCGCTGTGTGAAATATGAGATGTATTCCAACAAACGTTGGAAATATGAGATGTACAGGACGTAGTTTTTATTAAATGTTAGTCTGTTTATAAAAATTGATCCATTTGAAAAGCAGTGCACACAAATTGAAATGAATCAGATTAAATGATGTCTTTTGTTTATCTTTATTTTCAAACAAATTATTTGGCTACCAAAATACATAATGTTGGCTCATAAATTTGTAGAATGGCTATAAAATCAAACATTTGGCTACAACTTTGACTATTTATTGAAGTTTTCCAGCTGGAACCCTGCTAACCAATGTATGTAAATAACATTTGAAACATTATACATTACTACGATGTTTTGATTGGTGATCTGTGCATACATGTGTACAATGTATATATACATACAATACCAGTACATCTCTAACTCATTATGCATTATGCACGCACAATGCCAACGCGTAAATGTGGACGGGCGAAGTCTGCTTCCCAGACTTCATATTCCTATGCCCATGTTTTTGTATATTCTGGATTCTATGTCAGGTCCAGGAATAGGGCTGAGTCAAATCGAATAATTCACTATTCGAATATTCAACCTTCAATTTGATCGAATATCCGAATATTCTGTCGTACAGACCGGCAGATTGTTGATGAGCAAACCTATACTAAACCAGTTGCAATAACCCACACAATTGTACATTTTGATCAATATGTAATAGCATCTCACATCTAGGAGTATCTTCAACCAGCATTTAGCAAGATTTAAGAGATGAACAAGACTTCTTACCCTGTTGAAAATTTCTATTCCTTTTAAACTATTTAATGAATAATTTACTTTTTAAATCGTAAGATTTCTGACGCTTTTTATTTGAATCTGCTTGAAACAAGCCTCCAAAGTGCAATTTTTCGCATTTAAAACAAAAGACAATTTATCCTTCCTTTTCATGAATTTTGCATTCGAATATTCAAATTTGAAAACTAACATTTGACAATCAATCGAAGAATGGTATTCGCTTATTTGGATATTTGGTAGAGCCCTATCCGGGAACCAGACTAGCTACAACTATATGTAAATTGAGTGTTACTAGTCTTGGATCCAAGACACTTTTTGCGGTGCTACGACCGGTTATTGCATGCAGTGTGCGGTGTACTTTACAAGGCAATACACAGTGACAGTGCCCCTTCCTGCCGCTACGTGATGGTGTGTGTCATGGAATAAACAGGAAGGTCTTGGAACCAAGACTAGGAATACACCTGCATTCTGCATTCTTAATTGGCTAAGATGGTGAATTTGCTGGCCTTGTGTTTGTCGGACCATCCCAAATATCTGTGAGGATTGATCTTCATGTTCCGTTGTATTTCAGTGGTCGTTATGGGATTTAAAGGATTGTTAATCGAGTACGAGTACTTCAATGCTTGAGTACAATTTTATTCCGAGTATTTTGCAGGCTGAGTTCAAGAACTGTTGTTAAGTATGAGTACTTGGAAATTTGAGTACAAGTAAGACATGAGTACTCTGAAAATGGTACTGGAATAGTACTTGTGTATGAGTACCGAGTATGAGTACTACAGCACTGATGATAATACTGCAAAATTCCTTAGATTTTTGCCAAGTCTGTTTTATGGCCTAATCAGTCTTACATACCAGCATAGATCTGTATGATGCTAAGGATATTTTTAAACCGTGTTCAAGTGACCTCAATATCTCAAGACAATTATGCCGAAACGGTTTATATTGAAGTTACACAACATGCCAGTCAAAAGAGTAGACTTTTGTGCAAAAATACCTCAGTTACTTGAAATGACCACACCACTACATTTGCTTATCTTGAACATTTCAGTTCAAAAAGACCACCACTAAAATGCCTTTAAAAAAAGTGTACAGATGAATGCCATGGCAACCAATAGTAAATTGTGAGTCATCGCTGCCAAGCGTACTTCGTCTTTCCACCCAGAGACCGCTGTACAGGGGTTTCTTCGCTCTCTGCATAAGCCAACCCAGTAACCACAACAAATCCTGGCTTTCAAGTTAGTCTGATTGCTACTGTAGACCAATTGTAGCAAACAGTATGCGCAGACAATCACTGACTCTGCAGTGGCCTTGTGACGGCAAAAAGGAAGGCCGTGTGACCAGACATACAAAGCCCAAGTATGCGCTGATCATTGTGAAGTAAACATGATACAATACATCATGTAAACAACATGAAAGATTTGAACACGAGGGTACATTGTTTATTTATCCATAAAAAGAAACTTAAAACATAAAACTGTGGGCAAAACATTGCAACTTTAGAATGAATAAAAAAGTCCATGATGAAGTCCAAGGGACATACATGTACATGTACCTGTATTGTTTCTGTCTTGTCTTTCCATGTGTGTTAGTGCACTTGTGCACGTGTGTTTCCAGACTATTCTTGTCAGCTTGATTAGTTAAGAAGTATTTTATGCGTAAACTTCAAATTCAAAATTCTTGTAATTGTCACAGGGATTGGTCATGTGAATGTAAAGTGTTCAATTTTCTCATGGATAGTATGCATAAAGTCCATTATGAACACACATCTTTGCTGTTGCCATCATTTTGTTATTGTCACTGAGTCAAAGTTGGATCCACTTCAGTTTGCTTACAGAGCTGGTAGGGGTGTCGATGGTGCCAAGCTTTTCATGTTAAACAAATTGTACAACCATCTTGAAAACCAACATATGCTCATGCCAGGATTTTATTTGTGGGCTTTTCGTCTGCTTTCAACCTCACGCAACCTTGTATTTTAATGAAAAAACTCATTGTAGATTTTCATCTTGGTGACTAACTAACTGCATGGATCGTTGATTTTCTTTATATTCACCCTCAACGCATTAGTGTAAACGGCCATGTATCCAGTGTAATAGTGACCAATACTAGCTCCCCACAAGGGTGTGTCTTATCACCACACCTGTACATTTTATACACTGACAACTGTAGAAGTAGCCATGACGATAGATTGTTGGTGCACATCTGCTTTGATTTCACTCCTTTATAGGTTAGATAATAGTCAGGTAGTGCTCTTCAAGAATTTGTTGATTGGTGTGATGATTCATATCGGAAACTGAATGTACTCAAAACCATTGAGCTTTTTGTTGATTTTAGGAAAAAGAGTGAGGGTGTCTCAAAAACTGTCATTCATGACCAGGAAGTTGAAATTGTATCCAATATAAATACCTTGGAACCATACCTGATGAAAAGCTTAGATGGAATGAAAACACATGTGCAATTGCCAAGAAATGCCAACAGTGCTTGTATTTTTAAGCAAATTGAAGACCTTTTCTGTTGACAAACCATTCTGAGTCTGTTTTATCGGTCATTCATTGAAAATGCATTGTGTTTTTTTGTTATTTTCTTGTAGTTTAACAAAGTGCTAAGAACAAGAACAGTTCACAAAACAAACTAAAATAATAACCGGAGAGCCCCAAAGAAACCTAAGTCAGTTTTGTGAACAAGAAGTACTTAGAAAAGCTAAATCGATCCTAGCCAGTGAAATCACGTATTGAAAACCCTGTCTGAAAATCTGGGCTTAGGTGTGGGCTTGGCGGGGTATTTGTGCTTGTTAAATCTTCATTCTTGTTAATTTCAAAATGTCTCCTTGATTAAAATCTTAATATGGTGTGATTGCATGCCTTTACATAAGTATGTATTATATTTGTATTGTTCTACTCACAGCCTTGGGAGGGATTGCTGTTTTCCAAGAAAAAGAATGGGGAGAGTGTGCCTCAGTTTGTACATATCAGTCCCATCATTGGACAGGGAGGGTAAGAAGCAATTTGCTATATTCCACTTTTCACTTCAAGATGAATTAAAACACCGAAATGAAGTCTTTCATGCATTCTGTTTTAATGTGTTATTTGTGTATGCCTTGAGAAGGAAAACTTTTATCAAACTGACAATTTAATGTTTTTATGTAAAAAGTGGTTTTGTTTTGTGGCATGAATATTGCGCCAAAGCAACATGTTGATTAGTTCTTAGGTTTTTGTTGAAATAAAATTTAAAGGAAAGTGATGAACTTAACTGCAATTACATGTACATGTATATTATTGATTGATATATCACCAGGAGAGTGCGCCATCATGTATTCAACATCAAGAATCCTGTAGGTATGATTAGCCAGAGCATGTTTAGTCAAGAACTTCAGCATATTGACAAAATCACTTCAGACTTCTCAAATGGTAAGAAAGGGATGGTGACTTAAAGTGTAATTGTGTGAATGGAAGAGGGCATTCGGGCAACTTTATTAGAATTTGTATTGCTCGGTCTACATAACAATAATCATACACACATACATGTACAAAGAAATACGACTAAAAGTACTTTAAAAAGCAAGAATTAAAACGTCTTTAAATTCGTCCTTCTGCAAGGCAGCATATGTTTGAGCACAGTTGAAACATTTTCAATGGATAATGACAGTGGAGTGAAATACAAGTGACTTCTGTATTATTACGCATTGTTTTCTGATGTGGCATTGCTATCCCTTGCCTCATGTTTGCTGAAACACACCAACAATATGTGTTTCCTGCCCTTTTCAAGAACCTACATCTGCCATGATACATGTACATGTATGGTGTAACTGATACAACATAAGCTTTAGACATGAATTTTGCATGATTTATCTGTTTTACTTTGAAAAGAGAAATTAAATTTCACAATTGGTCAGGTATTCCACAAAAGTCTCTGGTACAAATATACGGAGGTATATTCATTTCTGCTGGGTACAGAAGCCTAAGTGCCAGCCAAAGTTGATTTATATTCAGTGAAAAATTATGTGCATCCGCGGGAGCCTCATCTGAAATTTCACCCCAGTCATGCCATTTCTTAGATGCATATATTTTGTATAAAGTCATGGTGATCATGAGATGGGCAAAAATAATTTGCTTTCACCTACTCTCACAACTTTTCAATGCAGGCACATCTGTACGACGCCACTCCATGGCAAGAATACACTCAATGACGATAGAGGCACCGATCACTAAGGTAATAGTTCTATCACTTAGCCTTTTGGTTGCAGTTTGGTTACTCACATTAGGGTACATTGTGCTTGTACGTGTACATGTATGCAATGATAGCTTGCAAAATCTTCGTAGCTAAATTAAGTGTGCACCTATGTAACAAACACTGGTACGTTCAGAAGGTTCAATGACCGTTTAGATGCATCTGCTCACACATGCACACCGTTGTAAATTATCAGATGATAATCAGTGTTAATCACTGTTAATCAGTGTTAACAGGTGACACTTTTTACGCCCTCACAAAAGATCTACATGTAGGTGCAAAAACAATCACACGTTTTGAAAGTCCCAATCATTTCAAAATATTTTAATTGGAGGGGTTATATTTTCATGACATATTTCCCCCATCAGAGCAAAGTTGCTGCCACCATTTCGCTCTTTACTTTCCCACACCTTACCCAGTCATTAGCTGTGTAATTCTGTTGCCAAACAGCAGGTATAATCGTTACCCAAACATTGTCTCACTTTTTGGGTCTTTGCCAGTACTATTTTCTTGTGAAGCTTTGGTCAGTCAAGCGTGCACACAGTGGCTTCTGCACAACACAATGTAAAGAACACCACGTCACATACGTGCATGTATATGTACACCAAATGTGGGCTGTTTAAGGGCACTCTTTTTATTATGGTTCTTCTATCTGTTTACACTTGGAGGGTCGTTTGGTCGGAAAAAAGTCCCCCTCCTAAAAAAATATCTGTTCTCCCATACAAATAACTGAATAAACCAATTAAGCAAATACTAGCAAATGGGTCTCGCAAGTAAGCTGTTCTTTCTATAATCATGGAGGAATGCACCCCATCACCCAACTGCAAAGTGCTCCATTAATGTGCCTGAGTCTTCCAGTTTATGGAGTTGGCACAACACCTGGAAAACCAGGTAAATACTTGTATTCTTGTCCTTTGTTTTAATATTGAGTCCGGTGAGTGTTGGTGTTTTTCCTCTAGTTTGGAACTAAGAAATATTCTTTGAGTACAACATTTTTTGAGTATGCACAATATCATACTCGAATTTTTAAAAACTTGTGCAATTTTATGGAACTATAAGTACAGCTAACAAGCGTGATTACGGCAGAGGCCGCCATGACGACAAAACTTCATAACAGAAATGGATTTTTCTCAGTCTCACTGATACTGTTTTCTAACAAGAATGTACAGTGGTGTGTGGGATCAAGGTTTTATGCTTTTCCATATCACAATCTTCACATTTGTCACAAAAAAATTGATTTCATGAAAAAACAGGTAGAATTTTTAGTGTGAAATGTAATAAGTGGGATTACGTTTTTACCCATTATCGGTAGCAAGAAAATATAACACTTGACTTTAACGAGTCTAATGTGAAGGATTGCCATGGTTACAATGCTGGATTATTCTATCAACATTGCAACTTTGGTTGTTTGAGTCAGTGTCAAGACATCTCGTTCACACGTGCATAGCACATGTGCGGGGTGTACATGCACACGTACATGTACATGACACTCTGCTGCAATACTCGTGGATGTACCACTCTTTGCTGTACCGTGGATTTCGGGTGTCAATTGCTACTTTGATGTTCGTGCTAAATCATATGGTTCTTGTCCATTTTCAGTGCGGTTTTTGTACAGGCGTTATATCACAACCTTTTTTTGGCAAGGTCTTCTTAAAAGGGGCAGTGGGCGAAAAGATTTTTCTGAGGTCTCCTTGTTCATGCACATTTGTTTTCATTCCAAGTGCTTATGTGATAACGAGATTGTAAACTTGACAAAGATTTACTCGCATGTAGTTAATGGGTTCCATGTTCCATTGATTTTACATACATGCAACATATTTGTCAGCAAAGGTGGAATAAACATCAGAATCTTTTGTGAAAGTTGATTATTGCTTTAAGTTTATTACCTTGTAAATCAACAGTTTGTGAAATATTTTTATCTGCTTTTACATCGGCTTTTACCATGCTGACAGACTTCCATAAAATTCCAAACCGTAAATGTTCATCTGCATATGAGACCACCGCATTAGACTGTTCTTCATATATTTCAGATTTTCAGAAGTGATTCAAGTTTTGGCAGGATATTTCTCTTTTAGGTCAGGTAATTTTTGCAGTTTCTATCAATTGAAATAATAGCAAATATTTTCCAAAGCCCTTTTTCCCAAGTTGGATTGTTTAAGAAGTAACTGAATAAAAAATGTTACAAATTCTAAAATCTGTGGTGACCTGTACTATGTGCAATACGTTTTCGTACAAACATGAATGCAGCGACAGCTGTGAGAGCCCCTTTTGCTCAACATAATGGAGCTTGCTACCAAAATTGGACTGAACACTCTGGTCGGCTTAGAATCTGAATGAATATTTATTTGTAACGGCACTTTTTGTGTAAAGGGACAGTTGAACGTTTATTTGCAACAACCCTGGTCTCATCCATTGCTGAGGATGTTTCACATTCTACTAATTCAGATTATTTATTTTAAGAGCATCGGTTCTTTTAACCAAAAATAAAAGGGTTTGTTCGTGAAAATTGATACATGTGTACTTTGTCTTTTAGCATCGTATTAAACGGAATAATGCAAGATATAAAAGAAACTGACACTAGTCAAATAAGGCCATCCCTATACATAAATGGATGAGTCTATTATATAGCATGAGCTACTATTGGCGCTCTTTATGGAAATACATGAATATGCAGTGCAGTTGGTGCAAATGCGCATGATATCCATCCATATTCAGAGTCTGGTTGATCAAGTTGTCAGGCACAGCGGACTCAGTGCAGTGGGGGTCTGTGGGCAAGTGCAAGCTGAAACCAGGTAATGAAGTTAACCAGCCAATGACCACGTTTCATATCCAGGCTGAATCATATCGTTGGTCTGGATGACAAATATAACAGACTAACGACTCAATTTCAAGCTCAAGTAAAGCATGCTTAGTGGTGAGCGATTTTACAGACAATTGGGTAGACTGGCAGGCCTCACATGCAGGGCCTAGTGCATGATGATTCACATTGACGCAAGGCATATTGGCCCGCCTCTAAAATAGAGCACATAAAAATGTGTGCCGATGTTCACATCAATTTTTTTTGCAGAGTAGTTGGCTATAAACATAACACAGAGTCTGTAATATTTGTAAAGTATGGCATTCTTTCATTCAATGCAATATAAATGTATTTACAATGAATAACCGTCGAGTCATGAGTATATTCATACGCCATTCTCGATGTACCTATGCACACATACAACAGCTGATAAAGAGAAACCCTGTGGAGGGATTAGTTGCTTATCTGTCCGCTTTGTTTACACACCCAACATGAACGTAAACAAAATGGCACATTGAAAAGGGTGTACTTTTTCCGAGTGGGATGTGGGCTCACTCGGAAATACTTCAATGGGCAAAATATGTAATGTTGAAAACAATACAGAACATGTATTGTGGCTGCCTCAAGCACACACGTGCCTTGAGGAGTTTCAAACTGTCATGACTCTAAAATGTGTCTCAAACTTATGAGGCCCAAATGATTGTTCATTCACAACCAAATGGACTATCACACCCAAACTCTGGGTCACTTGGCACTGCTCTGGTGATGTGTGCTTTCTCACTGAGATTGAGATAATAATCTGCAATTTAATGAAGCAGAAAAACAATACATGGATAATTATTAACAGTTAACTTGGCAAGCTGATTCATAAAAAGAAGTCTAGTCACTAATTTGCAACTGTCATGACTATTATAGTTTCACGACTCACAGTGTCAATAAACCAAAGAAATTAACCAAAGGTATCTCAATAATTCGACTCTTGAGTAACCAGAACTGCCCTTAAATCCTCTGAATATCTGGCATTCAGTTTAACCACTTGCTGCCGGGTGGTTTGGAAAATGCAGTACACACATACGGGACATTTGGAAGATTTTCAGTTTTCAAAATTCTTCAAAAATTCATCGTTTCAATTAATGGACGATTACACCCACAAGAATGACTGTTTGGTGGCTAATTTAATCTGACAGACAAAATCTATTGATGCCCGGCCTGCACCCTTGTAAAAAGAGCCCAAATTGTGCAGTGTTATGTAATTTCCTTTTGCTCACGAACCTGGCACAGTCTGCTGACGTCTTTTCAATAGAGGCCAGATTAGCAAGCAGCGGTGCTGTGTGGCTCAGTGCTGCAGTGTTGGAGCACTTTTGTCCCTGGTGGTAATCCACTTGCACTAAATGCCCCAAACCGTGGTATACTGTGTCAAAATGAGGCTGGATTATCTCCACTATTGAGAGTGAAAAATGTTGGTAATGCCCAGCAGCCTCAACTTTTGTTACGAGTACGGCCTTTTGTAACAAGGCCCCGTTTCCTTTGTTCGATTTCGGAGACCCTGGCCACGTGTTTAAAGAATATGTGTTCGGTACCGGAAACCCCGGCGGCAAATGGTTAAACCCTTTTTGCATAAACAGTTTGGCGCGTAACGTGAACAGCATATTGTTGGTCATATGTACAAGTATAGTCAGGGATCTCTGAATGATTATCCTCACAAAGGTACAAAGAAATCTCAGGAAATGTGAATAAATAACTTAAGCTGTCTTATTCAAAGTGCTCTAGAAATTTAAAGTGAAATATTTCTCACCAAATGGGGGTTTCTTGGGTTCCACAAGAACGAATAAACTGAAGATTACTTGGATTAACTTGATGAGTTTCAAATGTGAAAAATGTCTTGATGACAGCATGGCAAAAAAGATGGCTGCCTGTGCAACTTCAAACTTACAGTGTTTGCACTAGTGCATCCACTCACACATAGTGACTCAAGGAAGAAGGTTGACAGGCTCTTTCACTTACTAGAAAGGAAAGGTTTGCAGTATCCTCTTTCAAGAAATAATGTAAGTCTTAATGATAATCAGGATTCTAAAGAGTTAAAAATACCTACAGTATCTACATGTTGTTGATGATAACATGAGAGTAAAAAGGAAGCAAATGCACTGCACACGCTGCTACAGTGTCATGTATTATGTGGTGTTCA